TTCCATTGGTGCAAAAGAATTCGTAAACCATTTTAAGTAGTTATTGCCACTGCCAGTTCCTGATGTTTACGAAGAACTAAAAACTTCTTAACGACAAGTCATAAAGACATGGGCCCAACTGTATGAGATCTTTTGACCTTTGACCTTGAAGAATAGGTCAAGGTCATTGAAAAACTAGAAAAATTGTCAATTTAAGCTTAAAATCCAGATGACCTTGACCTTTGACCTTGATATTTGACCTTGACCTTTGACCTTGACCCCTTACTCAAAAAGTTATAAAGAAATATTCATTACCTTTATCTGGATTCAGCTTCAAGTGTTAATCTCAAGTTTATCTCTCTCTTTACTTTTTTTTTTTTTGATGACCTTGACCTTTGACCTTGATGAATGACCTTAACCTTTGACCCCCTAGTGACCCAAAGGTCACAATCAAGCTTAAGGTCGTTGAGGTATTTTCAACTCTTACTCTAACAAATGCTTATATCCCCCCCCCTTTTTTTTCTAAAAAAAAAATCAACAGCAGCATAGAGAAAATGTCTACAAGTCAAAAGACACGATATATCGACATAAGATTCGGAGTAAAAGCAAGAAGAGACCTTAAAGAAAGTGTCCTGAGAGTTTTAAGGTGAGTCTCTAAAATATAATGAAATTCTGGTGAAAATCGGCAAAATCTGCATTTTTTTCTGTCTGAAATTTAGTTATAGCTGAGCATAAAAATTAATTGAAGCCCGTATTGGTTATTTCTGCAATTGTTGTTAATATCATTCGATTCTCCTGCTCTATTACGACATTTTAATGCCAATTATTCTTGCTTTCTTTAGTGTATGGAATTTATTTCAATTTTATTTGGATTTAATATTAATGGAATGAATCTTGATTTCATCTGAAATTTGATTTTTTTTTTCTAGAATAACACAATCCCAAGAAATAGCGACTTTCAGCATAGTAAAGAGAAATACACATTTCTTCCCTATGTTTCCCATCTAGAATTACATGTTTGGAATTTTATTTATGCTACTTACATTGAATTTCATGCCGATTTCGGTCAGGAATGTTAAAATCCGAACCCGATTCTCTGTTTTCCTTTTCCATAATTACAAACTGCCTTGCATCTCTCGCTCATGTTTCTCACATGATCTTAAATAATTTATCGCCGTCCATTTCAAACATAAAACAACTCAAATCGGATATTTTCAAACACCTCTTTAATACATGTGTAATGCACATATGATGCAGGTACGCATGGGACATTTCACAACGTTTTCACTTACGCTTCCGTCTTGATGCGCAGATCAAATGCATGTTATTCATATTAATAGGTATATCATAATTTTAATCAGACCCTACCCCTTACATCTTAACTTGAAAACAATCTCATTCAAGCTCATATATACACCTAGGAGCGTGTTACAATGTTTTTTATGTGCTCTCTTTGCGTGATCAATGAATTCGTGCTTATCCCCGAGTCGACTCGTATAAACCAGGAAGTCTGTTCAGAATATATTTATACCAACTGCGAGCCCGATCTAAACTCCTAGTAGAGAAATGAGAATTTTGCTGTTTTATTTATTTTCTTGCTTTTTTCCTACTTTTTTCAGCCCAAATGATATTGAAACACTTAAAAAGGTGGAAAGATGTCTCATTGTTCTCTGAACAATTAGTTTACTAGTTATACTTATTATAGTAATATGCACGATAAAAACCATAATCTAAAAGACAACAATTAAATTTTAGGGGAGCTGTTAATATTGTAATAAGCTAAGTAATTATACCAGTAAGACTATAAGAATTAAGTAACAAACATACACTACTAAACATTGCTATATAAGCAGATACTCCCTAGGTCAGCAATTATATTATTGCGCAAAACAGTAAGCTAGATAATTGCGAACACGCAACATTGTATCAATACTGTAAATTTGAAATTGCGAACATACAACGTACAAGTTTGGCTTTCCAGAAAGCCTGAAATGTCATCTCTTTGGCTTCGTTAATGTCTCAGAATAAACAGTGGAATGTAACTTTTTCTCAGCTATTACATATTTTTCTATATTATTCCTCCATGGAAGGGGAGTCGCATTTTATCTGAACAATATCAGATAAAGAAAAAAAAGAGTAAAAATTATATGTTGTGGATATGAAGAAAATATTTTAACAAATTTATTTTCGGAAGCTGTATATTTATTGCGCACAAAAAGTGCTCTGTTTGTCCATTTATTTCTCCATTCTCCTTCTGAACAGGAAAGTGAGATGATCGAAAAAAAAATTGTTTGCAAGATAAAACAACATTTTTTTTTGGCTTGCAATATATTCCGGTCTTACGCGCTTCGATCAAATTGAGAGCACTTGATAGAACGGTAAGAAATTTCTTTAAATTCACCTTTTTTGCAGTTGAGGTAAGAATTTGAAAGAATTTATCCAGAACCGGATTGCAAGTTCTTTAATTATAAACATGAAATTAAACTCCTTAAAAAGAATAGATAAGACATGCAAAAAATATCAATGCTTCTCTGTGCTTTTTAATCTTCTAATGTCAGTAGTTTCTTATGGAAGTAATGTATCCGCTTATATAATATATACAGTGATCACAACATGTGCTTTTAATTTCTGAAGATTCCGGATTATTCTTAACATATTCGATCGCTTAATCAGATTTAAATGTATTATTTTTTAAGAAATTACAGCAAGTTTATAGAATGACTAATGAACCAAAAAATGGAAGTTTTCGCCATCATTCAATATCAGTAAATGCGATTACTTATATAAATGTTTTAAATTTGATTTTGTTTTTCTGTGAATTCTTGGATCCACGCGTCGGTCGCAGAGGATCTTTACACACGCGCTGACCTAGTTAGAACATTCCATCGAGGTCTCAACATCATTTACGTTTATAGCCAAGAAGACTTTACATGAGAACAAACAATGCATGCAACATGTATATTTGAAGAACCCCCACCACCCAGGCGATTTTGTGTGTCTGACTAGTACTCTCTATATCAGATTGTTTTTTTTTTCTCAATAGCAATGCAGATCGCTCATTGTTTACATCTCGATCTATATTTAGAAAAAAGCATCATCATCAAACTGACCAGTCGGTAATCCTCGGGTGGTCTCGCACTTTTTGTATGGAGCGTAGTGGAGTCAGCTGAGGATTGCCGATGGATAAATGGCAGCTTACACTGTGACTTCACATCCGGAAATCAAACTTAATGTGTCATCTCTCGTGAGAGATGACAACAATGCGTAAGCGTATAATATAATTATTGATAGCAGATTATGGATAGTATCTGTAAAGGGGTAATAGTTGCTGACCTTATAATTAAGTGGTATGGTTATTAACTAATGATGACAGTTGTAAAAACATTGGTTGAGGTATAATTATTACATATAAGTATTACGAAAAGGACGATATGACAATATCGCATCTATTGCACATCCTCTCTGTATTGAATTCAATTCTTTATTGCAAAAGACATACGCCTTATAGCATTTATACAATATATAAACAAAAGAAATAAAGGAAATAATGGCTGGTCAATCTTGTAAATCCTTATGGAACATGCACATATATACTCGTATTAACAGTCTTTACAGCAAACCAAATATTATAGTTGAAACTTACCAGTAAAGTAAAATAATAGGACTAGGTTTTGGCCAGAGATTTTGCATTGCGATATATTGCGATATTTTTAACTGTATTGCGATATGTATTGCAATATTTTCAATGAAATAAAAATGGCATTTTCTTACTATATTAACTTTAATTTACATGCAGAATTTACATAACTATGATAAGTAACAAACACGAAGAAAAAAAATCTTGTTGATTTCATTTAAGTTATGCTCTTAAATGTTCCCACAAAACAACTTCTGTCTTACTGTTTGTCTTAATAACAAACTTTCACAAGTCCTTTTTTATATTTAATCATTTTAATGACAAAATTCCTAAATCTAAGTATATTGCCAATATATCGATATTACAAAATCGTAATGCGATACGATATTGTCTGTCTTTGTATTGCAATATATTGAAATATCTATATTATTGCCCAGCCCTATAAATTAAGCTAAAACCAAAATTATATTAGAACAGATTAAAAATGGGATGATATGACCTAGGTTGGAGAGACAAATGACCTACCGTGAAATGGTAGGAGAGAGAAATAACCTGGGAGAGAAAGAAGTTTTAGAGAGAAATGACCTGACACCCACATGATATTATGATAAATTCGCACTATTCATTTAGCTCCTCCGTAAACAGACTGTCAAGGGGTCCCATATGCACACGTGTTTGGATAAATGAAATTGTCATATAGTCCTGTAACATTTCATCTGAATGCACAAACCCTATTGTTTAATGATCCGACCCATAGTAATTGAGTTTTTTCATCATAACTCAGGCTCACTGGTTCCTCTATCCCAAATTGCTGTGTCTCTATCTGCAAAATGAAGTGACCATTCTTAATATGTATAGTGTTGGTCCTCGAATCACACACACTGTGACCACTACAGCACCACGGCCATTATCATTTATATCTATATCAGTAAGGTCAGACACAATAACATCTCCATTGCAGTTCTCTGTGTAGCTAGGCAGATTATACAGATCCTGACCCGTTCCGTTGTGTTGTATTGTCATTATATATTGTCCTGTATCGTTATACCGTGCCTTGCCTGTCCATGTTGTAGTATTCAACATCCCGACCAGAATACCTTCATTGCAGCGGGAACTGTAAACACAGAGTGGTATCCATGGCTCATTTCTATTTATCAGGGTACACTTCATTCTGGTATCATGATATATTTGGTTAATGTTAAAATCCCTGTCTATATAAATAAGAGAACGCGTAGTTTTCACTGAATGTATTCCATAACTAACCAAAGCTATATCTGTAAGAGAATAAAAAGTATCATTTGCGTTGGTCATGATACATATAAGAATATCACCGTCACTGATCCAGAACCCACCTGATGGTACACAGGAAATGTGCCATACACCTCTAAAGTCTTTTACCATGTCCACTGTTATAGATCTGTGTAACTTGGGTTTGCAGTTTAAGAAAACATTCATTTCTTACTTGTTTTTTCCCTGTCTCTAGAAATTTGATTTCACTCAAAGTCTTAATCACTTCTTCCAGGTTGATTTTCTCAGTGAAGAAGGACGGAGAGGAATGTGTCAAGTTATTTATCTTGGGGATACGGACATTCTTTTGGTACAAAAGGAATTGTACTGGTCTACTTGCTGATTGTTCACATGTTTGTTCATAGTTCTCAAAAATGATACGTTTTCTACTAATTTTTCTCTTCTGTTTTTGTAATTTATTAATTGTTAATCCGATTTCAATATCAAATATTGCAGCGTCGATGCAATCCTTTAGTTTCTGAGCTTTTCTTGGCATCTCTGATCGAAGTTTGAAGATTTCTGTGTTAAGGATTTTCATATCAATTCTGATATCTTTCAGAAGAATACAACTGTAAAATAAAGCCTCACTTCTGATGTTGTTAAGGATTTTTCTGTGTTGATGACCTTTTTCTTGACATGTTTTTCTTATGTCCTTTACATGAATTTGGTGATATTTGTGTTCTTTACAATGGGAACAAACAGGAAGTTTACATGAGTGACAAAACATTGTACAGATTTTTTTTGGATGTCTCGCACATGTATCTTGTTTTGATATGTATTTATTTTTCTCACTGTAAATCACAACATCGTGGTATACGGTATCTAGATCAATAGCATGTTCCTCTTTACACTGTAGACACAGATCATGTTTACACGTGTAACAGTAGAATTTTGTGTCCCCCTGACATTCAGAACACTGTCGTACTTTACATACTAAACGCACACCCCATTTACTTCTATCCCCTTGATATTGAAAACTCTGGGTACTTAATCCTGAAACCATCTCGATGAGGTTGCTAAAAATTAAGCTTTGATGGTGCACGTGGTGGATTATAGTTGAAGGTGGAGAGAGCTGAAAGTAATCAAATACAAAAAATTTAGGATTTTGTTTAGTTTATATGTTTACTGAATATGATACTTAGATTTTTAAACTTGTATTTAACATTTTATCAAGTAATTATAGATAAAACTAAATGAAACTAAATGAGTCATCCTTCTGGACATTGCGGATAGGTCTTCAGTCCAAATATTAAATATTACCAAGATGTTAAATAATAAGCAACAGTAAGATTGATGACATTGATTGTTTTTTCGAGATATAAAAGTTGAGCATTCTGGTCGCTTGTGACTGTATGAATTCTTGTCACAATTAACGTTGTCGATGAGTGTCCATACAATCATATACAATTAGCAAATTGCAAAATTCGAATTTTGTGCACCGAATGATATACTGATTATAATTTAACCTTTTAAAAAGTGTTTAATCTATTTTCATTTATTGAACAAATTTTAAATAAAATTATTTATTTTGCGAGAATCACAAATAGCCAAATTCTAATGAAAATATGTGCAGAGTATTTCCCGTAGAAAGCCCTGAAAGGGACATTTTGTAAATTCTACAAACTGAATATTATTAAAGTGTTGCAGAATCACTAAAAAGCTGTGAAAATTCATATCATAAAGATTTATGCGCCGGGGCATTCAGATAAGCAAAAAGGAAAGCTTGTACTAAGTTGTAGGTCATATACACCATGTACACCTGGGAGACTGCAAAGCCTATGTTGGGCCACGGTAAAATGTGAAAAAATAAACAATCAAATAAAGCAAATTTCTTCATATTAAATCCTTAATTGATATCTAAACTATGGAAAGCCGTAGGGTACCCCCACATTATTATTATTTTTTCCTATATAATTATACCAAAAATAATTATCTCATCCAAAACTGAAAATCTTGCTTTTTACAACATTATTATTATTTTCCTGCAATAATTATAATGTTGTCTGTTAAAATGTACACATTATTTTATTTTCTCCTCCAATTATAATTATTTACACTTTACAATAATAATCTTGCCAGTCAATGTGGACACGATATAATTGTAAAAAAAAAAAAAAGAAAAAAGAAAAAAATTTAAAAAGAATAAAAATAAAAAAATAAATAAAAAAAATAATTTTTTTTATTATTATTATTTTGTACACATTTTTTTTTTTATTTTACTTCAAGATCATAATTATTCTTATTTCATCATTTTATAACAATGCATCCCTGTAATAATAATGTAGTGATTGAAAATAAGAATAAAAAAACAAACAAACTTAAAACAATTATTTCCGAAGTCTTCGTTATATAATCTTTGCAACAATAATGATGATGTAAGGCTTTGTTTTTATTTTCAACAGGAAAGATAACTTCTTTTTTAGTGACAGTAACGAAAACTCTGTCCCCTTCACAATAATTATAAGATTGTGACTGTCTACATTATTTGAAGCGTGAAGATTTTATTATTTCTAGCGTGACGGATACAAGCGTTAAAGTGAAGGAGATTTTCCTACATTATTTGAAGCGTGAAGATTTTATTATTTCAAGTGTGACGGAAATCAAGCGTCGATGCGAGAGAGATCTTCACCTGAAAAGGCCATGTGCCATTTGGGCTGTTGCGAATATGAATGTAAACAAAATGAAAGACAGAAAGTCCAGCTATAGGCTTTTTAAAAGCGGTGAGTACGGACTAATCATAAATGTATATTTAAGTGATTTACATCATTTAAATAACGTCTCTTAATTTTTAATCAGCTGTCAGTTTATTGTAAATATGAGCTAGAGTTAAAACAGGCAGTTCGAATTGCCTCAGACAGCTATCAGAAACCGACCATATAGTGTGCACATAGACGCATGCATTATAAAACCAACCTGTCTGATTAAAAGGATTAAGAAGACAATCATTTTATTTGGTTGTACTGACGGATTAAGGAAATAAACATTTGAACCTTGACTTATAAATTCTCTGTCATCCACTGGTATGTCGATCGATATCAAAAATAAAGAGAAAATAATCTGTCAGACCTTCACTGTGGTCATGCCGTCACCTCTCCCCTTGTATATATAGTATAGTTAAGTCTGATTTTGGTGGGAAAAATAAAAAACCATTCTTTGATTAAGTGGAAATATATATATTCTGTCCTGTGAAGGCAAGACTTTAATCTGGAAAGTTCCCAGACCCCTCCACTACCTTTTTATGAAAAGGTTACATGTGACTTTAACATGGTGAAAAATGCCTTTCCTAGCCAAACATTTCTCATCTACTCCTCAGACCTCTGTACATGCCATAATCTTGCACATACATCTATGCATTTATATTTTTAGATTTTGTATCTATCTGCCACTGATTGAAAGAAAATTCAAGATAGAAAATGAATCAGCTGAACAATTAATTCTGTCTGAAAATTGTGCAAGAGATACCCTGATGTTTCATTTCAAAATGAAGAATTTGATGGTAAGGTTACTAAGGCCTTAATAAAAATCATTGAAATGCTTTCTTTGAATGTTAGAATGGTAATTAACATTGCAGTTGTTGCAGAAAAAAAATGCATAACCCATGTAAGCGGGATATGCATTTTTTTCTGCAACATCTGCAACATAAAGTCCCATTCTAACAAAACAAAGAAAGGCGATTTATTGTTTATATTGATTGATCCTTTAAATCTGGAAGGTGTTGTACAGTGTAGCTGCTATGCTGCCACTACATTGTATGGAAAGCAATGCTTTTGATTGTAGAGCTAACCTAGATGTTACATAGGGTGACTTAAATTAGCACTAAAATTTAATGCTTAGTTCCAAATACAAGATGGCCTTATAGTTGCAACTTCACAGCACACTAGATTTTAATTAAAAATAGGGGAATACTTTCTACATCTTACTGTTTTAAAAGTTAATTTACATGTATATATATATATATATATATATATATATATATATATATATATATATATATATATATATATATATATATATATATATATATATATAAGATATTTGGGCGAGGGTAAGAAAACGTGATAGAGGCTTGCCGAGCCCTCTTACGTTTTCGACCTGAGCCCAAATATCGCTTATATTTCAAGACATTTATCATTTATTTTTTTATTATCCTGCAACATATTTTTAGCATTTGAACGTCCAAAACAAGCTATTTTCGACAGAAATAGGCACATCTCTGCAGTTGAAATTATTATACCTCTACTGTAATAACTCTATATGAAATTAATACCATAAAACTGCCTATTTCCCCGAGAAGAGACTCTTCCCTCATCTGAGGACTACTCCCCGAGATATCAGAGCTACTCCCTGGAACTACTCCCCAGAGCACCAGATAATTTTTTACCCCAAAGTGTAATTACTGCCTGATTTTCAAATCAATGCAGATTTTGATTTTCAGCAAAATGATTGAATAGTATTTTGTTTATATATAAATTTTTTGACCTTTATTTTGATTTTGAGCCTGTAATCAAAATATATGTGTTTTTGAATACTGGTTTACTCTTGATACGATATATCATCTTAAATGGAGGAAAAGTTTTCTGCGTCTCTGATTCTATGGTACCTTGACATACTGTATAATCTTCCTTGTCAAAAGAGAATGCATAAAAATTTAAGCAAAAAGTCTTGTTATTTTCAAAATACATTTAGATAAATGCAGGAATTGTCAGGCCTTTGTAGTTTTATCCCTCTTAAACTCTTCTGAGAGAAAAGAATCTTCGTTAATAAGGCAATTGTTGAGAGAAATGAAAAATTGGCTATGAACCCAAAATAAAAAAGTTATGCCTAGTGCATAGTCTTTCTATTTACAGAAATTGATTTTAATCTAAATCTCTGATATTTTCTCCCAAAATGGATTATCATCTTTGTCATTACTAGAATATTCCTGGTCACTAATAGGCTTTTAAATCTGTACTTCTTTTTGAGAAAAATGAAACACTGGGTTAACCTCAATTCATATCATTAAGTAAGTCGTACTTGTATTCTTCAACCTATTGTACGCATTACTTTCGTGGTGTAATGCTTATCTACGATTGCTAATGCGTAATTGTATGCTGTATTTTAATTTTCAATGGGTATTTTGTAAAATTCAGTGCGTATTTCTGCAAATACGCACATTATCTGGAGCTCTGCTCCCTCATGAATATTTATTAGTAATTTTAACCAATCAAAGTGTTCAGTGGGTGGAGCGTTCCAGGAATCTCGAGTCCGTGACGTAATGTTATTAGCAATGTAACTATGACGTCAAAACATTTCAACATGCAATGTCAAAATCATAGTTACTTGCAAATGAAGACAACGATGATATATATTCTTGGAAATGTCAGTGAAAATATTTAAAAAAAAAAATAATTACATTGTTCTAGGACACGATGCATTATACAGCGTGAATTTGTGATAATGCCTCTATAGTGTTTTTTTAAATGTGGGAATATCTGGTTTTTCAAAAAAATTGCCTATGATTAATTCGGTATAATAAAACACCCTCCTACCCATTCCATAACTGTAAACTATGATGCCATGGTGTAAACATTTCAATATACAAGAGATCCATGTACCACAATGCTCACCTTAACATGAGCTCCCATAACATGCCCTTTTTTCTTTCATCACAATTTGCATTTATCTCAGTTTCAAAGAAAGTTTTCAAAATATTTTTTTAAAAAAACTTCATTTGCTGATACATAATAATGAGAGGACCTCTCAAGTTTTTGGACATTGACCTTTCTTTTGACTTTGACCTCAATTTCTTGAATTTGTGTTTAGCCCAGTTTCAAGAGCTAATTATAATACTTTTGTCAAACCTTATATGCTGATGCATATTGATGGGACCTACTCCAGTATTTAATTTCATCAACATTTTTTTTACTTGATTTTTCCTATAATTTAATTTGTTAAATTCAGTTTTAAAAGAATGAGATGACTAATAGGAAGATTTTCAAATGACTCAACAAAACTTTTTTCTTT